TGCCAGTGTGTATTACACTATAGAGCTAACTACAGGAAAAGCAGACACACACACACAGGTTTGTGCAGTCTTCTTCAGTTAAATAAATCATTACAGAGTCATTACAGACTCACCGAGGAAAGAGTCCTAAAACCCAGACATGAGTTAGCAATTCAGCACTCCTGGTTCCCTCGTCTCAAAGTCAATGGGTTTTTTTTGAAGATTATTATTACAAAAAGTGTAGGGATCATAAATGTTTGCCACGGAGCTTAATTTCTGCAATGAGTCAAAATCCAATGGAAAAATCCAGCAGGCTTTTTGACGATTGAACCAGGACGATGCTAACTTCAACTGGGAGAGTCAATGAAATATGTCTGATTATGATTGATGATGATAATATTGGGCTGTTTTGGTCCTGCGTGCCCTCAGCGGCGGTGCTGACTGTTTTATTCGTCCAGATTATGTGCTCATTTTTCATCCAGTAGATCTCATCTAAGATTTTCTCCAACCTGATCTCACAGAAATACGTGAAATGACCACGACCTCTTAACACCGCATTCCGTGGTGGCAGCACGTAATGGGTTGAAATTACGTGCTGCCACCACGAAAACAATGCCAATGTAAAGTCAATTAGGGTCCTCTCCCGTGGTGGACACACGGATTCCCTGATTCAATCACGTCACGTCAACCTCGTTTTCCTCAATGATATCTTTAACATTCCTGTATACACACAAAAACGCGGAAGTGTTCTTGATATTAAAACGGCAAATACATTCCCCTGTTATAATTTCCCACCAATAATAATAATAATGATAATAACGTGATAGTTCGGCTGTTCTAGATATTTGTTATAGCCTATTCAAATATTCAATCACAAAAACGCCGTTTCTAGAGAACTTGCTAAAATATCTGAAATGAACCATCATGCCTACTTTTTCTTAACATATTTCATCTAGGTGCAGTGTCATTACTAGTTCAGCTTTACTAGACATTTGATATACTCAGTAGATGTATCTTTTTACGACCCTGTTTTACAACAAGCCGCAAAAAACCTACCGTCCCAAAAACGCCGTTTTTAGAGTACTATCTAAAATAACTACGATTAGCCAATATCCTTGCTTTTTTTCTTAACATAGTCCATCTAGGTGCAGTGTAATAACTACTTCGGCTTTACTAGATATTAGATTTATTCAGTAGATCTAGCTTTTTACAACCCTATTTTACATGCCGCAAACGAACCTACTGTCCCAAAAACGCCGTTTCTAGTGTATTAGCTAAAATATCGAAAATTAGCGGACATCTTTACTTTTTCTTACCATAGTTCATCTAGGTGGAGTGTAATAACTAGTTCGGCTTTACTTGATATTAGATATATTCAGTAGATATATCTTTTTACAACCCTATTTAGAGCCCTACTTTGCAAATCAGAAGAACTACAACTATGTTGCTGATATGTATCAAACTGCATGGCGCGGTCCCAGGGAATTGTAGTTTTTTAAAAATCTAAGTGTTTTTCCCAGATTTGGAAGTTGTAAATATTGAATTGAGAGTACACTGTGGACTTTAAGGGGATGGTAAACACATTTGTGAAATCAGATTTTAAATATCTAATTTCTAAATGGGTGAAAATTAATTTTATCCATATTTTATCCATATCTGACAGCACCCACAGTTGTTGACTACACTCACATGATAGCTGAGGTCAAGAGCTCTCTATAACAGTTGGTCCCATGTCTGTACCCCCTTTCGTTGCTGAGTTATAAGCCCTCAAACATGCACTGAGGTCAAGGTTCAAAGGTCAATGGCTGAAAGCAGGAGCCATGTAGAATCTTCATACTGACATATGTTACTCTCCAGGTTGAGACCTTTCCAATGATGTATTTGGTTTAGCTCTACGACAAAGTTTAGATTTTTTCATTTTTTGGACACAAGCCATGCCAGGTGTAGTTTCAGAGAGCACTTTGAAGGCCCCGTGTATAAAATGAGTTTTGTTTGTTTCTTTGCTTGTTTTTATCTTTTTTACTGTAGATAGTTACTAAAATGAGTCATCCTCAGACAATACAATACTACTAAAAAGTAAAACCAATAATAACAATAATGAAATAAGCAAAAATAATATTAAAATCATATTGAAATGTTAAAATCTATTTACAGAGTGGAATGGTAGCCTAATAGATAACTTAGATAATATTTATTATTGTTTAGACACTTTATTATTGCTTAGATACTATTTAGCCTATTATTGTATTTACTTTTAGCATGTTCTACTTTTGAGTAATTTCCGAGAAGTTATGATAAAAAAAATAAAAAATTACAGACTATAGGAGACAACCTCTTCAATGTCTCACGTCAATTAATTAACACGATTTGTCGGCTTTTTATAATGCCTTTTTTTTTTTTTTTTGCTGCTGTCTCCAGTTGAGAGTGGTGATTTGCTAAATACATTCTACAATAATAATTAGATTAACATTTGGTCTATAATATTGTTGGCTATATTACGCATTTTAATAAAAAAAACGGAAGAATAAAAGAAATAAACACCGAAATAATTACTTTTTTTATTGATACTCCTCTTTGACACACACACACACACACACACACACACACACACACATTGAACACGCGATTGAATGAATGAATGAATGAATGAATGAATGAATGAACATTGGAAGTGGTTCAGCCGCAGTCCCGCCGGCTGGCTCACATTGAGATTACATTTGTTTTTTATTACTAACAAAATGTTTTATATTGACCGTATGAATGGTTTCGTTTTCAAATAAATATTTGGAAACGAAAATATGCTTTGGTGTACTTTTACAGAGTTTTGCAATATGTATATAGCCTACCTGTATCAAAATGTATAATTTTCAGCAGCGGTTTGTGTGACAGCTGCCACGGTCGGACGTATAACCAGCGGGGCAGCCATTCTGTGGCGCTGGCTTGGGGTCCACTCTCCCCTGGTGGAGTGGAGGGTGGCCGGGTTGCCAGGGGCAGACGGCTCCATGTGATGGTGTTTCCTCTCTGGTTCTTCCGTGCTCAGCCTTATTTTTATCTTCTTATTTATTTATTTATTACTGGCGTTTGGATTCAGTTACGGCAGACGGATGGCAATCTGAAATGGAATGAAGCCCACAGACGGCGGACAGCAGCTACAAAACAGTAGTGGAACGCGCCCCATCCGCCCACAGCACAATGCTCTTAAAGCCCTACGCTATCAAAAGCTGGCAAAATACATTTATTTTATTTTATGGCCTTGACATTAACCTGTCATATTGTTGAGTTATCAAGGACACTTCCGCGTTTTTGTGTGTATACAGGAATGTTAAAGATATCATTGAGGAAAACGAGGTTGACGTGACGTGATTGAATCAGGGAATCCGTGTGTCCACCACGGGAGAGGACCCTAATTGACTTTACACTGGCATTGTTTTCGTGGTGGCAGCACGTAATTTCAACCTATTACGTGCTGCCACCACGGAATGTGGTGTTAAGAGGTCGTGGTCATTTCACGTATTTCTGTGAGATCAGGTTGATTTTCTCAGCCACTCCTTGTCACTTTGTGTTTGTTTATACAGCTGTTCAGGATGAACCAGCTTCGTTTATAATACTAATCACTTTATTTAAATAGCACCTTTATAAACAGAGTTTACAAAGTCTTTTGACATGCAAAGCAAAAGCAGAAACAGGATACTCAGAAAGCAATAAAACAAAAGTTAAAACAAGATGACAAAAAATACAGAATGCAGGACACAAAATGTTAGTAAGTAAACACAAATCCATCCATTTTCATCTGCTGATCCGGGGCTGGGTCACTGGGGCAGCAGGCCAAGCAAAGCACCCCAGACGTTGCTCTCTCCAGCAACACTTTCCAGCTCCTTCTCAGGGACTCCAAGGTGTTCCCAGGCCAGATGAGTTATGTAATCCCTCCAGCGTGTCCTGGGTCTGCCCCGAGGCCTCCTACCAGTGGGACGTACCTGGAACACCTCTAACAGTAGGCGCCCAGGAGGATCCTGATCAGACACCTGAACCACCTCAACTGACCCCTTTAAATGCGAAGGAGCAGCAGCTCTACTTGGAGCTCCGTCCAGATGTCTGAGCTCTTCACCCTATCTCTAAGGCTGAGCCCAGCAACCCCACGGAAGAAACTCATTTCAGCTGCTTCAAAATACAAATAAAAAGACCAAAAACAACAAAAGCAATAACAAGGAAATAAATACATATAAATAAATAAAAGACGACATCACATAAAAGCATCTCTTGTGAGGCATTAGTAAAATGGCGGGGGAAAGGCAGTGATGACGGAATCTACTAACTTGGATAAAATTCTGGTGTTGGAGTGATTTGCTAAATTTAGAGAAGAACAACGCTCTCGCTTCTTCAACTGCCTTTTGATATTTTTTCATTGCGTCTTTTTGTTACGTGATGAGGCAAGCTGCAACTTCCTCCCACAGTCCAAAAACATGCAGGTTGGGTTATTTGGTGACTTGAAATTGAACTTGTAGGTTTGAGTGTGGTGTGAATCTATGTGTCAGTCCTTTGATAGTCTGGCAACCTGTCCAGAGTCCAGGTTTCTTAACAGGACAAGCGGTTAGAAATAATGAATGAATTCATTTTCATCAGCACTCGCAAACCATGTCTGACTTTCATTTTTATGTCAGTGTGCAGACCATCAATACGTTGTTTATTGTCATAAACACTTAGTTACACAAGTTGCTACCTGCCCATATAATTGGAGCTGAGTAAGCGTCTGCACGCATCCCACAGTATAGTATGAAATGCAGTCACATACACACACTCATAATACAGTGTGATGGCAGCAAAGTGAACAGACATCTGTAACAAGCCTGCTAAAATCATTCAATGCTTAACCGAACCTTCAGTCTGATCGCATGCAGCAGTTTCAGGAAGTGGTCAAAAATCCATGTTGCAAGATGTGTTGTATGTGAATGTGAGAATGGGGCTGGGCTTGCCAGGTCTTTAAAATCAGCCAAAGCTGGTTCATTGGTCAGTGCGCTGCACACAACCTGTCAGTTTGCATTGTACTGTCTTCAAATCCACCACTCTAAGATGGACAACAGTAGAATCTGTGGGACGTGTGAGGCTCCTCTAATGGTGCCAGGGGGGACTACGTCGAGTAAGTACACTAGAGTTTTTAACAAAGGTATCTGTTTTCACTTTCACGTTTTATCTTGTCCTGTGTCGATCTCTGCATCCACACCCCAAACCTGATTGCGTGCAGTGTATTGTGCTGTACATGAATACAGTCTGTAATGTTGTATCTGGTTGTGTAATGTGTTTAGACAGAAGCACACGGTATTGTACAGTCAGCTGGAAGTTTGGGGGATGATGCATACAGCTTGGTATGTACTTCAAACAGTAAATTAAATCAACATAATAATAAATCCTCACAGATCAGCTGCTGCTGTCGGGTCACATGGGCTCAGTCACATATCTGGTTTCCGTATGAAGCTATCTGGCATGTGGTTTTTCATAACAAGGTGTAATGTGTCTCTCAGAAAAACAGAAACAAAACAACAACGACACAAAAAACTACAAAGACATTAAAAGCAACAGGGACAATGCAGTTTATCAGCTGTTATTTTACTGTCTTTTTAGCAGCTTAATTCAGAAAACATGTTTTCAGTTTGTCTCAAACTGTGCCTGTCTGTGGTTTGGTTGTCAAAGCCTGTTCTCATGCCAGCTGCTGCTGTAAGTGTTCATATGACTGTGGCGAGACACAAAAAAACAAGATGCTGAGGTTAAAATGCTCCGTAGAGCTGACGACAGCTGAGACATCAGGTGATAACTCTCTGTGGGTTCGTCAAAGGAAGCAGATCCTTCATGTTATACATTATCATTTGATCTATTGTTAATATAAAAATATTTATTTGTAATTGCAACGTTGGGGTTTAAAACAAGCTCATGACAAAGGAGCAATGGACAAACTTAAACTCAACAGTTAAAATTTTCAACTAAGTCATTGCTGGTCAAGAATTGCCTCCGGGACATTTGAGGCACAGGTATTGTAAAGGTATTTCAGACTTACTGTGTCATGTTCAAGGGGTCATTTCATGTTGCACAAACTTGTCTCTGCTGTGTATCACACACAGCGTTAAATGAAATTGCCTCTGGCGGCTGAAACTGCTTTTATCAGAGTCTGGATTGTGTTTGTGCGTGACTGCATCGCCCCCACAAGCTTTTGGGGAGGGGGCTGACGTGATTTTCCAGGCTGCTGTTCTGGGGGGGCCTGAGGTGGAGCCGAGCATTTTTCTTTTCTTCTCTTATCCTCTCCTGTTGCATCACGCCCCACCCACGCACATTTCTTCACCACATACTGTAACTCTGCCAAAAGTGGTTGCATGTACAACCTGGCCTGTCCACCCCTGCCCTGCTCCAGTTTCTGCCAGAAACAGCACGCCAATTGTCAACATGCTCAGCCAGTTTGTCGAGGTGAATCTGGGTCTCTCCACATCCTCACCTGAGCTCGCCAAGCGTGACCCTCACCTGGGTCAGCACCAGGCTGCAATCTCCAAGGCTGAAAATGAAGCCAACACTCAAGTGCCAAAAACTGCAGTTCCTTAAATGGCCACTTGAGGCTGGCTCCAGGAGCGAGCCAATCCACACAGACTCCCATGTTAAAATGCCAAACTTTACAGCAGAAATAAACATGTTTACAGCCTGATACACAAAACAAACAAAGAAAAACAGGTTTTGGTCTATGTAGTTAAGCGTCTATGTATAAGGGATGCACGATATTATCAGTACATCATCGGTATCGGCCAATATCAGCTTTAAAATGAACTACCAGAATCGGCCAACATGCTTCTTCTAAATTTGCACAATGAGCAAAAAAATCCAGTATCATGCATCCCTGGTATACATGTCTATGACTACGATGACAACCTTAAAAATTGCACTAATCTGATTTGTTTTGGATATGAAAGAGATGGTCAAGTAAATGTTAGACATTATATTTGATTTATGCAAATTAATTAAATTATGGTCACTATCTTCGTGTGTGTCACGGATAAATTATACTTTTCTTCTACTCGAGATTTGCTCTTTATAAGAAGTGGATTGTAATGAAATTAAATATCACTGCCATCAAATAAGTAAATAAATGTTGTATTGTATTAACTTGTTCATGGTTGTTTGTTTTTAATCTCTTTCAGTCTTTGACTCTGTGCAGCCTTCCCCCATGAAGAACAACTTTCTGCACCACACCAGTGAAATCTCATTGACGGAGCTGATTGTGAGGCGAGGCCAGCCCTTCGACGTGGACGTTAAACTGACGAAACCTTTCGACTCTAAACTTCACCCACTCAAAATTGTTGCAAGTACAGGTTGGTGTTTCATTAAGTTATTTGTTTTGAGTATTTTTTGAGGGTCTGTTCTGCTCTACGAAGCCAAAACACAGTAATATCTGGAAAGAACTCCGACCATGTGGCATCTTTTTACTGTATAAAAACATATGAATTGTTATTAATGAAATATTGTCACCGTTAGCTAGACAGAAGAGTTAGCGTTGGCCTGACAGGGAAGTTAATGTTAGCGTCTTAGCTTAGCAGAGCAGCAGTAACTGAAAATATGCACACTTCTACACATGCGTAAGAAATAAGATAAAGTAAGATTTCATGCATTTTAATTTGAGTATTCAGCTCAACTCTAGTCGGTACTGAGTTTCCCCTGAAGATTGTAAAACTACATTTTAAGTTAGCTTGAAACTTTCCCACAGTTTTTCCTTAATTTCACTTCTTAAAGTTTGAGGGATCTTGACAGCTAGTGAAATATCACATCACTACATTAACTGGATGGTCCAGTCTGTTTAAACCAATGGATGGATGAATGAATGGATGAATGGATGGATTGTTACATCGGTAAATGAAACGTCTGACTCCCTGTCTACAGGAGAACAACCAAGCGAGGACTCGGGGACAGCATCAACGTTCGGCATCCCAGATACTGCAAACCGGTCAGCATCAGCAAAGGCAGTGTGGAAGGTGGAGCTTCACAAAGACTCTGACCCAAAGTCGGGCAAACTGGTCCTCAGCATCACCCCCCCAGCTGATGCCCCCATAGGGGAGTACACCGTCATGGGTTGGCACAGGGATGAGGAAAAACTGCTGGCAAAGCCTGTGGTGCTCTTCAACCCCTGGTGTCGCGGTAGGTCAATTATCTGTCTGTCTGTTAAAATACTCTGTTACAAGTAAACTCCTGCATTCAAATTGACCTACTGCTAAGCCACGCCCCCTCCACTCACTCGGACAAACAATCAACATTCAGTGACCGGCGCTATGGCAGGTGTCACAGTACACGGCATTTCACAGGAGGCAATTGATGATTTTTGGAGACATAACAATCAGAAGTCATTGAGAAGTAACTAAAAGGGCCTAAACTACGCATTGGAGGGATATATTCATCATTTTATTGTTGAGAAGGTCGATGAAAAGCTTAAATTACAAGCCAAAATTTACAGGTCACAGTGTACGCTTGTGAACCGCATCTCAAGTTAGTGCCATTGAAGTTAAGGTTTTTGGCTCAGAATATGAGAAAAGGATAACGGCCTTTTTACCATCTTTACCAAGAGTGTCTCTCCGTTAGTTTGGTGCTACAGTATTTACACTGAATCATTCAGCATAACGTTTGCCAACCTTTGTTATCTCTGCCATTACAGATAACTTAATGAAGCTAAGCTCCAGAAGTTAACGTTAGCTTAACTAGAGCCCTTTGGACAACAGCTAACAATAATGTACGATCACCAAAGTACAAAACTAGAACAAAATATGCTAATGAACTCCCAGC